GGGAGAGAGAGAGAGAGAGAGAGAGAGAGAGAGAGAGAGAGAGAGAGAGAGAGAGAGAGAGAGAGAGAGAGAGAGAGAGAGAGAGAGAGAGAGAGAGAGAGAGCGCGTGGGAGGCAGACACAAGAAATAGCAGGGACCCAAGAGCTCCATTAGGCGTGGTTTGGCCATCATCATCCACAACAGGCAAGCGCAGTGAAGCGAGCCCGAGGTGTTCTGGTGGCATATTCAACAGGTCTCGTTCGCAGGTGGGCCAAAGGAGCTTGGCTGAGAGGACAGGGACAGGGTGAACGAATCTTGGGTTGTGTGTGCCGAGCATTGGCAGGGGTTGGGTTTGAACGGTCGTTCGGCAGTCAAGGGTCACCGGGTTTGAAATTTTTATGCTCTGCCATTTTGTTTCTTTCCTCCTCGAATCTGCCTGCCCTTCCCGCCCAGTGAAGATTGATCGACATTGGCTGCCTTGCTCATGTCTGGTTGTGCATCTTCGTGCCTGCTTGTTCTCCTGCTATCGCTATCTCGACTGTTTGCCAACGACGACTCAAACAGGATCTAGGGTCCGCCACTGCCTGTTTGCCAGGCTTATCGTCAGGGTAGGTTGTGCCGGACGCCGTGATAGGCGGCCAACAGAGGTTCTCCTGGATTCAAAAGATCGCAGCACCAATTTCTAACAAGAACCATAAACATCTCTCTGTGCGATTTACTCAGGCTGTTGGAGGTGTCGACGTGTCGTGGCATTGCTTGCACTTTGACATTGGCAGGTGATAGCAGACAACTGAGTTCGCAGCAAACGCTGCCTTGAATGGGCCTGCTGCTGGTGTTCGTCATCCAGTCAACCCGCCACCATGAAGACAGCGGCCGTTTTGCTGTCGGTCTTCGGCTTGTACGTATCCTGATTGCCACCGATGCCTTCACCTTCTGTACCTGCTGCAAGTCCTTGGCATATCTTGATGCTAAATAACTGCATTGCTTGAGGTACTATAGGCTGGCCTGTCTAGCAGCACCAGTTGCTGCTAACCTTACGGCCCAAGATGGTGATACCGTGCTCGTGAATGTCATCAATGAAGGAACAACGCTGTATTTGAACGTCTCCCTGTCACGCGCCGGAAGTGTTGTTGATTATCTAGTCGTCAACTTGTACGCTGACGATTCAGTTCAAAGCATCGGCGATCTGATAGTTGGGGCAAACACGATCGCCCTGCAAGGAAAAACGGAAAATCTGATCGGACCCTGTGGAATTACTAGCACAACAAGCACTTCCACCAGCACGTCCACTTCTACTTCGACCAGCACTTCCACCTCTACCAGCACTACCACTAGCACGAGCACTTCTACCAGCACTACCACCACCACTTCGACCAGCACCACTACGACCACTTCCACTTCTACCAGCACTACCACCACCACTTCGACCAGCACCACTACGACCACTTCCACTTCTACCAGCACCAGCACCACCACTAGCACTTCCACCAGCACTACCACCACCACTTCGACCAGCACCACT